TGATCAATATATCGGGGTAGGAAATTAGATCGGATAGTTAACATCCTCATTCTTAAAAATCTAAATGGCGCGATAGGGCATATTACACATAGTTGTAAGGATTTGATTGGGGGGGGGGGGGGGGTTGTAATTATTAGGCTACGGAAAAATACAGGCAGCTCATGCGTGAATTCAATCTGACTGAAAATTTGGGATCACGCGGAAAGCTGCGATTTCAACTTCCACAAGCGACCCTTCAGTTGTACATAAAAAATGTCATCCCTCGTTATTTTGAAATTAAATTCGATCTTACTGATTATTCTCATTTGTATTGAGAAAGGTGTAGCTTTTGTAGTAGGTGCCCCAAATATTTCTTTCTGTTTGATTGATTATGTTCAGATACCCTTCAATTGCATTTACAAATGACACCCCTCGGCATTTTAAAATTAATATTTGTTTAGCCGCATTTTTTTAAGAATTAAAAAATGTGCCATTGTTTGCGTTTTATCCGTTCGTCCGTCCGTCTGTCCGGACCCACTTCTGCCATGTTGAACTACTTTTAGAGTTCTAGAATTTTTGCAATTGGTAGCCAGGCGGCCATCAAATTTTGTTATCTCAACGCCCCCGCCGTCCCCCTAATGAATTATTTCCAAAGAAACTGTTTTTGAAATATATGTCAAGAGCAGATTTGTCTCACAAAAAAAAAAGATTAGGCCGTCTAGAATAGATATACACGGTGTCCATTTTTCGAGGTCCACTATGAGGATCTCGCTTATCTTAAAAGATAGAAATTTAGTCAAATTAGGGCAAAGTTGCGCATTTTCGTGCTGAATAATAATCTGAAAAGAAATTTAAAATATCTTCATTAGTTTTTGAAAATATTTGTGATTTTCGTTTTTAATTTTTTCATGGTAAACTAATCGTACTAGAAATTTCTAAATAACACATTATTCAGAGACTTTTTAATGGAGATTTCGGGTATGACATCTCGTTTTTAATAACTTTTAAGATGACGGAGAAGCACGTGGCAACTTTAGTTTTTTTTATGGGCGCCTTCTTGGATTTTCACATGTTGTGATTACGTTTTTTTTCTCTTTACAACGATATATCACACATAGTGGTTCAGTATCCATCACATTTTTCCTAAAAATACAATTTTTATTTTCTGCGAAGAGTGCTTTGCAAAAACAAAACGTTCTATTGTTGTGAACAAAAGGTCATTAACATTTGTGCTAGTTTTATTGCTAAAATATTATTTATTCTTATGTATTTTGTTCTAATCTGAATTATAATTGTCTTTCAAAACGATGGTTCAATTCTGTTCAGAAAATCGAATTTTCTCAAAATAACTAGTTCCCTGTCAGCACTGAAACCAGACAAATGAATCAAACTGTCAAACCTTTGTTCACAATAAATGAACGTTTTGTTTTTCCAAAGCACTCTTCCCAAAATATTAGTTGACCGCTTATGCGGTTTATTTGTGAAGATACTTCAATGAAATTTTGTATGTAACAGGGACCCGGACCCAAATTAAATATCGATCCCGGTTCTGTTTATATTTAAGCGAAAATATTTATAACGGTTCCGGTCCGGTTTCGGTTCTAAAAACAAATAACGGTTCGGCTCTGCGAATTTTTCGGTCCATAACGGTTTTTTTCGGTTCTAGTTTTTCAGAAAGTATGGCATTCAAAAAATTCATTATAACAATGTGATTTGTTAATTAATAGGTGTGGAGAAAATGTTATGAATATCAAAACGTGACGTATTGTCAGTGTAGCTAATTTATAACGACAAGGGGAATAATGGAGGAAGAGGGAAATATGTATTTACACTTAATTTATTACTAAAAAACAGAAAATTTTATTTTCTAAAACCTCGTCCCTCCTTTTTTATTTTTTTAAGTAGTGGCTAATTGAGAGGTACAGTACGAATGGTTGTATTTGGATAGAGAAACCATAATATTCTATTGGTCTACTTTCCGTTTATCTAAGATGTTGAAAAAGTTCAAGTTTAAAGTTTCCTAGCATATCGTTCGCAGCTTTTATAAGGTCAATTTCTCAAAAATGGTAAAATGCAAACTATAATGCTTCACTTTTCTGAAGTTTGACGTTTTCTGAAGCGATTTTTGATAGACTCCGATCCTGTTTATCTAAAAATCTAAACAAAGCTCAAGTTTATTGTTTTCCCATCGGAAGATCTTAAAAAGTGAGTGAATTTAAGATGATTTCCTTCGGAACAAACTAAAGGAACAGCACCACCCCCTCTTGCTATTCGGAAGCTTCAAATTTATACCGTACGTGGTTGCTTCATATTAAATCTTTATGTTTGTGTGTATTTGTGTACCCTACACCGAAAAATTGTACTTCATTTTCCCACAAATGGCCTGCATTCATAATATAATGGACAAATTCGAAATATGAGGTTACCAGATTTGCAATTTTTCTCTCGAAAGCATAATTACCGTGATCGATACATTAATTAACCTTTATACGTAGAGTTACATCTAAAAAATAACGTTTACACGCAATCCGCTCATAATGTCGCTCAATAAATTATTCTTTTGATTCATATGCGCAAATTTGATTGCTTTTATTATTAAATAAATTAGTAGCTTGTTTTGTTTACTGGACTACACAAAATGCGATATGATTTTATCGAATTTTCATTGCCAGATTTTGATTTGATGCATCCTAATGTCCGTAACTGGATTCTGTGGAGATGTAGCACTAAAGAGGTCGGAAGTTCCTAAGTACTCTGATATTAGATAAATCGCTTTCTATTATGACTCCTGATATTATACAGGGTGAGTTTTTTTTTACATTTTAAGCATTGGGATCTCGGTAACCATAAGACATACGATTCGGTTAAATGAGGAAAGAGTTGTCGTTTTAAGAGCTTATTTAAGATATGCTTTTGTTTTTTGAAAAAAATCCACAGTTTACTAGATATGAGCGAAAAACAGATTTTTCATTTAACTGTTGTACATGATGAACATACGAATTATATTTTTAGATCTTACCATTTTTGGGTATAATACTAACTTTAATTTTTTTAAATGGTAGTCATAGTTGGCTTTGACATGTTTAAAAAGGACAAATTTTTCTCTTTATAACGATATAAGGCTTGCTAAATGTACTTTAATAAATAAACGCCCTGCAGTAATTTTCGTATTATTGAGAGAGAGTTGGCCATGGAAAACAATATGTAGTGAGATAGGTACCTTTCATTTACGACGAAAATTGGACAGGCCGTTATCTTCATTTTCTGCCAAATGAATTTCAAGATATGTAGGATGGGTTAGATTTGGAAACACGACGTAATTTACGCTGGTTTCAACACAACGGTGCCCCGCCGCACAACTAACTGCAAGTTAAATATTATAATAGACAATAATTAAGAGAACAAAAATGTTTCCCATGGCAAAATCTGTTTTTACTACTCTTAATAATACAAACAGTTCTGTACCATGTTTATTTGTCAAAGTAAGTACACTGAACCTTATATCATTGTAAACAGAAAAAAGTGCACTTTTTAAAAATGTCACAGCCAACTATGATTACCATTTAAAAAAATGTAAGTTTGCGTTATAACGAAAATTATAAAAAAAGAATAAATATTAATAAATGTATCTTATTAAGCGGAAAAAATCTACAATTCTTGTTCTTTGCATATTTCTGTATTTCTAATACTAACGATTCTACAACAGCTAAATGAAAAATCACTAAATCTGTTTTTCGCTCATATCTAGTAACCTGTGGATTAAAAAAAAACAAAAGCATATTATCTTGAATGAAATGAAAGGTACCTATCTCACTAGATATTGTTTTCCATGGCCAACTCTGTTTACTTACTTCTCAATAATACGAAAATTACTGCAGGGCATTTAGCATTTAGCAAGCCTTATATCGTTACCAAGAGAAAAATTTGTCCTTTTTAAAAATGTCAAAGCCAACTATGACTAACATTTAAAAAAATTTAAAAATTGTAAGATCTAAAAATAAATTAGTATATTCATCATGTTAAGCATTAAAATGGTTAAAACTTTTATTCGTGTCATTTTGTTGTATTTCTAATAATAACGATTCTACAACATTTAAAAGAAAAATCACTAAATCTGTGTTTCACTCATATCTAGTAAACTGTGGATTTTTTTTAAAAACAAAAGTATATCTTGAATAAGCTCTTAAAACTACAACTCTTTCCTCATTTAACCGAATCTCTATGTCATACGGTTTCCGAGATTCTAATGCTTAAAATGAAAAAAAACTCACCCTGTATATCAGAAGGTTTGGTTTCACCAGCAGGAGTCAAGTTTGTCAGATCTACTTTGTGTAGCCTAGCACCATCCTAACACATAGGACCACCCAAAAAGCACAATATAAGCTAAGGACCTGTTGTTTTGACAATTAAAATTTTCAGAATGTGCTACAGGCACAGATTCATGTAACTTCATTTATTTATGCAATGTACAGTCTTTGACAAAAGTAATGATCACCGAATACGTAAACCCTGCAGTATGCCCAACCAACATTTGAATATATTGTGCTTGGAGATGCGATTAATTTTTTTCATTTTCATTTACGTAGTTCTCAGAGAAGTATAACAATAGAGCAAGTGTGCTTAGACTTGAAATGTAATTTTTTTACGTTACAGTTCATTAAAAAAAACCTCTTTGTTTATGGAGGGTTGTTAATGGCATATTGTTTCAAAAGTTTAGTTTCGGTTACAATAAGCATCAATATGAACGTTCACTTTTTTGGATAATGCTAACATTTGAACCCGTTGTGTATATCTATTTGCATAACTCATTTCGTATTCATCACGGATGCCTTGTTATTAACTAAATGTACCTAAATGCTGTTACAATATGAGTTTAAATTTTCGTTGACCCCACTCATACATCGAATAAAATATTTTCCAAAAAAAAAAGGGTTCGATCGATTATTGCCGCACACATATACACACGCACACATAATTGAGTGAAAACGTGGAAATCAAAAGGAAAAATGTATAAAACCTACCCATTGCTAATATCGTTCCTTCCGTTAGAAAATTTCAAGTTATAACCCGTACACTAACTGCACGCAAGTTTTACGAACACGGCACGCGTCCCGACGTCCCCATTATACGGACGCGACGGCCGGCATTGAAATTGATGACTGCGGATACGGGAGGACATTCCCGGAGTGGAATTGTAAAATTTCTGGATCAAGTTTATGCGCTCGCGCATATTGCTACCCACAGGTTGCGTGTACATATATCATTTAAAATATGTATTGTTAAATGAGCTCTTTTTTGTTTTGCATTATGATTTTTTTTGTTTTATACTGCTCTCTGCTTCGGCGTCTTTATAGTCAATTTTGGCGACTCGGTGTACAAATATCACGTGACTAAATACGATATTTAATGCAAAAGGGGTTTGTGCGTATAGAATTGATCGAATACTTAATTTATATGAGTGTTTCGTATTTGATATTTAATAAATTTGAACCTCTAAATAAATCTGGTCTTAAATGTTCAGATTTAGTTACTTTTGATTAGGCTTGACAAAATACACTAAGAGAAGGTGATCAAAACCTGGAAACATTATCAACTTTCGATCAATAACCATGCAGTGAGCACTAATCTGCTCCAATAACCACCCATGTGCCCCAATGGTTAGAAGTGGGAATTTTGAAGAAGGGACCCTCTTACGTTGGAAACCCGGTAATCAAAAGGTAGTAACAGCGACCCAAAAAGAGTTAATGTAGCCGGTTCTGAATTTTACCACTGCCGTTTCGAAAAATGTGGTTCCGAAAAATCACGACAGAGAAAGGGGAATGGGCATAACCGAACCTAATGCTTTTAAAAGTCTACGTGAAGGGTTAGGAGTATGCAGTGGCTGCGCCTTGGTATCCCGAAAAGTTGTCCTTTGCTGGGGAATAAACCGTTTCGGAAAAAATGTAGTAGCGGGGCATGGAACATTCCCCAGAAACATTCCGCAGAAATCAAGGTACGAGAAAGGATACTTATTATTATTATTATTCGGAAAAAACTTATCAAACGGAAGGGTACCTATTCCACACCCTCAAGACCGCCGGTAGTACGTTCTTCCTCACAATGGTTTAGTGTTAGACCACGATCTTAGGAAAGGAAAAGTACCAAGAAAGTCTTTGGAACTTACTGTTTTAATTTGTAGCGCTGTTTTAGCCGCCGATAAGGAAACCAAGATGCCTCATCCAATTATTAACGATCCTCGAAATCGTTTATAATTTCGTATTGCTCTCCGTCTGTTTATGCCTTGTTTAGAAACGCCCAATCGCTTTGAAAATTGGTAAAAACGTTTTTAAGAAAGGTCGCTACGTAGACTATCGGTTTAAAATGTTGCAAATGTCGGCAGTTTTCCGTGTTAGTAAATAATTCCTTAAACCTCAAGCAACTACGCAGATGCAAAAAAATTGCTCATGCGCAACCCAACGTTTGTGTTCTAGCAATTCAATTGTTTTATTTATTCAGACGACGCCTGATTGATGTGTGTTTGGTGTCAAATGAAACGCGCTTAATTAACATAAATTTTAATCCGTGCTCTTTGTTAAACTCGAAATTCTCTTTGTTTTTACTTCGTGGTTATGCGTGCATTTAGGCTTTTTCAAGTTTCTTTTATTTATCTAATCGAAACGTATAACTTGGGGTGTTTGATATTTTTTATTGCTGTTGTTAATAGAGGTGTCTTTCTTGGTTTCGGGTTCCAACAGCTATAGTTGATTAATTAAATTTCATAATCTCCTGCAAAACTTTTGTCAAGAGGCATGATAAAATCCAACACTACGCGTTACGTTTTTCTAATACCTTTCCAATGATAATTCTTTTAGAAAGTGACAAGGTAAAATGCTATCGATTCAAAAGTAATTAATGCACAGTGTCGACCGTTTTCTCATATGAATGTATTGCGTCGTAAAACCGAAATTTCAGTCATCAAAGAAGTTTAAAGCTCGTTGAAGATAGTGTGTACCTACTTATTACTTTATAAGTAAAACGCATTTCCCAGGAGAACCTATTTGAAAAGATTTTGTCTTCATGTATCACGAACTGGGGTAGTCCCTCGAGTAAGGCACAGAGTAATATATTTAATGAAATGTTATTGCACGGCCACTAATTGGTTCGAAACCGTATTTATACCGACGTAGGCGTCCTTTATATTTTAAGAAGATTAAGTCCGCCTTGGGACTCTCCTGGCGCTGAAAGACTTAATCCCATTAATTTAAAAATAAATGAAAGGACATAGGCCAAAAAATCTGGACGGAATTTTTTTTCGGTTAGCATACAACAGATGCGATGCAATCATTCTTGTCACATCCTTGCGGGATACAAGAATATAAAACTTTCTCGCTAGAATAATGTAGTTTCTTGGCTTATCTCTCTCTCTAAAATTTTCCCGCTACGAGAACTCAAAAGCTCTAATTCTCTTTTTTTCTCTTTATATGCAGATCAGATTTGCGGTTAAATAAAGATTGGTTTACTAGAATAATTGCGTCTGTTTTGTATTCTTCTCCCTAAAAGTGCAAATCTGTGCCCTAATGAAAAAAATGAGGTGGAGCTCGTCCAACTTACTTTTATCCCTCCTATACTTCTTTTTTATCGTATCGCGTTTTTTCCGTCAAAATAACATAATTGATTTTGTGTTTGCTTGTTGGAAAGTTTTGCAATAGAAGATTGAATTTAAGTCCTTTGAGACATACTTTAAAACACAATAAAGTAATAAAGTTCGGTTTGTAATGATTGGGTTATTGATTAGAACATTTATGAGACATAGGCCCTGTATTTTCCACAAATGGGTTTCTTAGTTTGACGCATATTCAATTATTACCTACTACTAACAGTGGGGTGTATTCCGTTCGTCCGCGTCCGTCTAAGGGTTTAAGATCTCAGCTTTCCGTTTTAACTGTTAATGTGTGGGGTGAGAAAAAAGAAAAATACCGAACAAACGTTATGTGTCAACTTACGAAATAGACGAGAGGACCTTGCATTAAAAGGGCAAGCGACGGAAATGGATAAAAAGAGCTTATAAGAGTGGGGGGAACGTAATTCCAGCCTCGCGAGCTTTATCTGACATCAATTTTATATACCAAATAGCCTTCACTTTATGTACAATTCGATTTTATGTCTCTCTCTCTCTCCGTTTCTCATAGTTAGATCTTGTGAGTTATACATTTTTTATATATTACATATTCGAATCTTTCCATATTACACAGGGTCGTGGTCAGTTCTTCCGTTACAATGTTTTCTCCGGGAAATGGTTCTCTCATGTCTTCTCTTTTCATTTTTAATCGACCTTGCCGCAGTCTACATAAGAAAATCGAACAAGCGTTTGGGGGAGGGGTGGGGAGGCTAACACCTGGGGGTCTATAATTTTTTAGATTTACATGTTTGCTTTTCAAGCTTGTGGTGATTACCCCTATGGTTAGGCAACACACCGATATCGGCGATTCTGACCTGTAGAATCCAAATCGTCCGGGAAATTGAAAATCGAACGTGTGGATCAAAAATTATAGCGGTTTCAATGTTTTTTTTAAATTACAATACCTATTAGCTATAACTTTTGACGTGCAGAAACTATCTTCACCTATCATTCGATTAGGTAAGTGCTTATGTATGTATTCTCAGTGTGAGTGGAAGAGACACCTCATACAGTTCCGTGTCTTACTACATATGTTGCTTTCTCTCTCGTACCCACTTTTGAACCGTGCGGAAGTAATATGGGAAAGGGAGTTCGTCTAATTAACCTCTCTTCCGTTTAGTATGTGGATTTTGTGTTTTTGTACTAATTTGATTTATCTTGTTTTCGATTTGTGTTTATGATATCTCTTGTGCTTCGTTTTTGTTAATATTGGTTTAACTGCATTTGATTCTATACAAGTAGAAGACCTATGTTCGCTCTGGACCAGAAAGTGACGTCACACCAATCAGAGACGAGCACGTGACGTCACAGCCAATCAGAGACGAGCACGCCCCCCTATGCTCCTCCTCTTGGCCAATGGGATACGGTAGGCGGAGCCTTTAGGGGCCGCCCCCTGTGGCGTCACAGCCAATGAGCGGTGTGGTGGGCCATTTTGGATCGAGCGCCATTTTATTAGTTTCTAATTCCGCCATCTTGGATCGGTCGCCATTTTATTGGTCACCAAATCCGCCATCTTGAATCGGTCGCCATTTTATTATTATTATTTTATTTTATTTTATTACGTGTTTGTACCATTTGATATGTTTGATTTTTGTATTTCTATTTTGTATGTTTTATGCCAGGTTTTTTGTTCAATGAAATTCTTCTGTCCCTGGCCTGTTTGTGTGCGTAATGTATTTCTGTCTTATTTAACCCACAGAAGTCTTCGCTTTGATTCATTTCACTTCCCTTATTGGGTCTCACGTATTATTTTATATTATTTATACAGCAGACGCGTCTAATCTCCACTTTAAGCCCAATCGGTAAGCTGGTTCTCCAGATATTTATTTTTTATGATATTTATATGATGCGTAGGAGTTTTATTCGTGCCAACCAGTGCGAGTGGACTGTTACCGATATATGAATGTGGTGCGAAACGTCTGACATTCTGTCATGAACGTTAGGTGGCTCTGCTTGTAATTTTTTCCCCAGAGTTGCCAACTGTAATAATAGGGTAATTCAGGATTGCCGTGCCGGCTCGGAGAATAAACGTTCTTTTAGCAATAATTTGATATAATAAAAATGCGTATCAAAATTACGTATTGTTTATGTCATATTCTAATGAAACTGATATAAGAAACGTTGAAAATATGTAGATAAGTAAACGTTTTTTAGTAATACGTTTTTAATTTACCATATACTGGAATATTTGTTTGCTTACTTGCTCTACCAATGCGCCAATTCTACCGTTTTATGGTATACATATATACAGGGTGGTGACTTGCGTAACGCATCATAGGGATTTCAATGTAAAATTCATAACATGCGATTATTGGCTCCCCAAATTATTTTAGAGTAAAAATGTATTAAGGTTTTTTGTAGGAAAAAATTTTTTACGGCAATCAACCCTATTAGTTTTCAATTTTTTGCATAATAAAGACGGAAAATTGGAAAATAAAACCCCCATCTTTTTCAATAATCTGTGATGCCATGGAATTTTATAATACAAAAACTACGCCAATATCCGTCATGCCA